CTCGCTTTAATAGATAGTACTTGTATAATTATTTTTTCCTGCTTATTTGCCCTGCCAGAACATTATAGTAATGCCTTCACTTCTTGACACACTGTTCTTAGTAAAATGTTGCAAATTGCACGTGAACATTCAAGTCAACAATATAATAATAATCTTTCAATTTGAATGAAAAAAGCAGTAGGTACCCTACATTTTTGTAATTATTTCATATTTATGTTAAAATAGAATAATAGCGACTCATCCTCGCTGCGCTCGGGTTCGTCCCTAGAATTACGTTTTAAAGTTTAGTATAGATTTCTCATAGACGAGATATTTTCCCGCGGTAAAAAGTATCGTATATGTTGACCCGGATAACCAGCTATCACCATACCAAATTTTATCAAAAACACTCCTGTGATTTTTCCGTGATACGGTCACAGGCAGACAAAAATTCTAAAAACTATAGATTCGCCCTCTGTATCGATATTGTTTATTTCAATAAGATATTCCAAAAAATATTTAATGTACAGATTCGGCTAAGTTACAATTTTATTTTAAGTATAGATTAAATCTTGAACAACATTGACAACAGACATTTAAATTTTGAACTTTTTACTATTTTTAAGGTACGTTCGCATTACTTACACTTGTTATAAATTGTAAAGCTTTGTTCATTTTAAGTATCAATTTAAAAAAGAAATCTATATTTCTAACAATCGGAGTCGTTTAAAAAAGCATGATTTATTTGGACAATTGCTAGTTTTTGAGAAATCTATCCAAATGCAACACTTATCCTGGTTAGAATTTCGCTAATTAAAAAACCACTCCTGTCCGTCGAATGCAGGATGAATTTTACAATGTTTACCATACGTTAGATTGCACAGTTCAACTATTTGCGAAACAGAAAATCAATATCTATTTTCTATTCAAGCAAGCAAAAATAGCCGAAAATAGCCTAAACTAGCGCCGTCCAATTTCTTTGGTATGGTATGGGGCATCTGTACTAGAAGTATTGTGATCTATGATATTAGCAAGCCTGAAGATGAAGAAACAAGAAGATGAAGATTGAAGATAACAAGATGACTGAAGATGAAGAACAAGAAACAATGAAACACTTTTTCTAATATAATCGTTATATTGACAGTAATTAATAAAATTTATATACACAACAGAAAATCATACGTCCCGCCCAAACGTCAATCAATATCTTCCGTCATACTTTTCCTGCCTGCCTGGCACCTGCGTAGACGAAAACCACAGAGGTTGTATGAAGGCGTACTAGATGTCTTCGAATAAAATAGCAGCGCGTAACAAAAGTTTTCTGATATAAAGATTTTTTTATCGATCGAAGCTGCACTTCCAGAGATCCTGAGTTCGAGTCCCGGGTCAGGCCGAGTAGCCTATAGGGTATTTATCAAGAAATATGCAGTTGGTAAAGTTGGCACTATTATAATGGACGCACGTTAACATCACCTCTCACCGAACTTGTAAGTGTTCATCCCACTGGACTTTTAAGACTTAAGGAAATGAAAAGTGTATTTACGCACTATAATATCGTGGTTGTTGGACATTGTATGTATATAATCTCAGCACAAAAAATAAAACCAAGAGATGTCAATGTAAATATTTATTTCAAATACTATAAGTGCTTATGGTAACCAATGATACAATGTTACGACTCAACCGTCTCTCACATCGTAAGCCTTGCCTAGCTGTAGTATCACCACCTCGAGTCGCCAGTGCGGGGCTAGCCAATACAAAACAACTCTTAAACGACCCTTACAAAACTATATAATATCATCTATTTATATTACATTTAATAAATGAATTTAATTTATTTAGTATCAGTCATTCGGTTAACTGACGGTAGCGCTTCCTTTATTATAATCAACTTATGCAAAACAAAACTACTATTTATATATAAATTTGCCTCATGCGAGAATCAAACCCGCACTTTTGCTTATGTAGCAAAAGCGAGGTCGTCAATAATATACTAAATACTAATATATAATTATCTATTTTGTCTGAAAAATCAAATAATCAAGAAAGGAAATGACACCATTTACAAACCGAACGATTAATACTAAATCATTTATTTAACATCATCCCAATCATTCAAATTATAAGCAACTGTGTATTATATAAACGTTTCTATTCTATACACGGAGGCACACATTGCTTACAACTAATCTTTCATTGTGATATCCAAATTCACTCGAATCCAATACAAAATTGTATAAACGACAAGATTTAATCTGCTCAAAAAATTGTCAGATATACATTTTCGCGTGAAATACTTGTAAAGAAAATCGTTTAATGTTCATATTTTTCTAATCTAATACTATAGGCGGCCCTCCGACCTCGCATTCTGTGACCAGAGTCGGTTAACTTACAGACTACTTACTGATGTATAAAACATCCCTCAGAGAAGAAATCAATAATACATTTAGAATAAATCTGTTTATTTCTACAGGCCAGGTTTGGTGTGGGAGAAACGAATTAATATGTACAATATCTAATATTAATTAAATTTAAACTTCATTAAACATTTACACAAATTATTCTGCAACCATATACAAAATCACAATCTACTCATTGAAATTTCACTTTCAAACTTTTTATATTATTGTATAATAATGTGATTTTCATACATTTTGATCAATAAGACGAGTGATATAGCCTCAAAATATTTTGAATCCATATATTTAATACTACTATACTTCTAGTTTATATAGATACTCTCTCTGTTTCCTATTTTTAATCTTGCGCGTGCGCACAAATAAACCCTTTAGGTGAGTTAGATACACGTTGCGCATTACAAATATGTATAAACAAGTGCTACATCCCCTAACTGTCCCGTAGTAAAAGATAGAAATATCCATTTGCTGTCTTCCTTACTCCATGACTAATAGCCATTTGCTGTCTCCCTCACTCCATGACTAATAGCCATTTGCTGTCTCCCTCACTCCGTAACTGTCACTTATTGTGACACTAGCAATATAGTAGTGTTAGTTATATGTTCGAATCAAACCAGTTATCTGTATGTATTACATGTATAATTATAATTAACAAATGTCTAAATCTAATAAGCGACTAGAACTAAATAGAATACAAGCAATCGGAAATTGTCATGAAACTAAAAACTTTATGTGCAACAATAAATATTGTAGTATTTACAGAAATGTTGCGATTATCAATCCTTAATTAATATATCTTATGGTATTCAATCTCTCAGCAAACCTCATACAGACCAAACTTTTGATTGTTCGTTTTTAAATGTAAGTTGATTAAAAAATATGATAATTTTCTAAATAATAAAAAAAATATACATTAACATGGAAGAGAAATGATAAAATTCAATATATTTTTCGTCATAATTAACACATTTTTAACTTCTGCATGAGTTTTAAAATTTCACTAATGAGTAGACTTAATCTCAAATAATTTTTTTTCTACAAAGCAAAAATTAATACCTACACATTAATTTTAACTACCATATCAAATGTTACATAGATTTTATTTTGATATTATAATATACAGGTAAATTGGGCCCAAAAGGTATAAAATATGAACTAAACAAACATTTTAAATAATAACCGTTCTGTTGCTTGAGTAAAAGTAAATTTGCCTTTCGATCAAGTTGAGTAATAACAATAAAATATATACCGATGCAACAGCATGCAATAAAATCATAATTTTTAACTTTTAAATAGGTCATCATTGTGCTAATGATAAGAAACCATATCGTCTGTGAACTTCTGAGTCTTACAAACAAATTTTACACAAGTGTTCCTTCTGTTTATATTAAATTAATAAAAACTAATTAATTTTTTTTTTAAAACGTGTAGAACAATTTAGTACTTGGTTGGTATTTACGTCTTTTTGTGATATCATATTAAATGCACTTAGTATTTGTTGCTTTTGCCAAATTATGGCATTAAAATAAAGTTTTGCGCAAAAATTCTAGTTAGGGAAGTATCAGAATTTCACAGAAATATTGGCATCCGAAATGATAAAGAAATAAATGAGTCCAAAGCAAGTGTACAGTGTGTATATTTGTAATACTTATTGTACATGAGAATTTACTGTAATGCCATATAGAGATTGTGGATTATGACTGATTCAATTAATCGATCGTTAAATTTACGAATCAATGTCTTATTGTAAAGTATATATTTAATACCTATATAACAATCATAATGCTATACACATTACTTTAATATTGATATTAAAAAAATAAATTTTATAATATCACTCACAATCAACATTCTCTAATGTATCCATTCTACAATCTATTATTTGGTGTTTTGTGATTAATGTCCGCAGTAGTACTGAAACCGTATAATTTCTTCGTTATAGTCGAAACTAATAAAATTTAAGACATTGCTTATTATTTACATGACAGGAGATCCAAACTGTCTATACATAATAAAATTACTTTCAACACTTAACAAGTCTTTTCACTTCGCATTTCACATGTTGATAGCATAGATAATGATATGTCCTGCCAAATACACAGATTATATATTTTTTTCACAGCATTCATTTACTTTTTGGCAAATAGTCAATATGATAAAATTAGACAAACTTAAATACTAAGCTCTGCCACCAACTACATTGTGAATGCTATTTAGTTAAAAAGCGTTGTAAATATTTTTAATAATTACAAAAAACATGTGTTTCTTTCAAGTTTCAATTACAAGTGAAGAAAAATAATTCAATCATTTCGAGTGTTAACTAGTTTAAAAAGTTAGAAAGATAAAACAATAATATAATGCAATGTACACTAAGTGTTAGTGTTCACCAATAGACTTAGACACTACTACATCACTATCATTTGATAGTCTTGTTTGTATTCACTTCACTATGCCACCAACACATCACTACCCTATATCACGTTTCATTCACTCACTTACGTACAACGTTTATTCATCAACAGACTCATTCAAAGATTCATTTACTGACTCACTCACTTCTTCACTTGTGTCTTCAGGCCCGGTTTCGGGCTCGGCCTCGGATCAGGTGTTCCGTAACTCAACAAGCTTCACATCCTTAACATGTAAATTATGTTTGGACTTAGCGGCGAATTTGATAACAGCTTGCGTAGACACGAGAGGTACGTGCCTGAGATCCAATCTATAAAACAAATATTAAGGTCAATGTTAGGTGCTGTCATTACAACATATCATTATTACTAACTTAAACTTCACTTTATCTGGTCTGAATATAGGCAAAAGTCATTGCGCAGTTGTCAATTTTTTGGTGCACTGCGAATACGTACGTAAATATGTTAACAGACTCGCTTATCTATATTTATAACGAGCATATATTTTCTCTTCCATTCTACTATTTACTACTTACTATTTCAACAAGCAAATGTATATGCACTCTAGTATGAAGTAACCAACCACTCCAAAACTACCGTCTGTCGCATCTATTCTCGGTCTATTTGTACCCAATAATCACTCAAATTACTATTTAAAAACGCCTAACCAATTTAAATTATATTTTTTTACTCCTTCACTTTTGACTAACATCAAAAAACAGTGCACAATTCGGTCGTACTTTTTTTAATGAATAGGTATGTAGGACAACCCTCATACATTTCAAGAAATAAAACCACCCCGAGAGTAGTAATTATACTACTTAATATATATATGTAATTTAGAATTCAGCATACCTTTCAGTTAAACAATGACTATATGAAGATTAGAAAAAAAAACAAACAAATGCGAGTCTGACTCCCACACTGAGGGTTCCGAAACATGAAACCTTAAAATAAGTTAATAAACGCAAAAAAATACATTCTTTTTGTGATGTAACTAAAAATTTACCATTTTCGGGCTTTGTGCTTGCACACGTTGCTTCTTCCCTAATGATTTTTGGTTAACGGGAAGTATCCTGTTTATTATTATTATATTATTTTTATTAACGGCCATATCTTTTGATTGCATTGACTTAGAAGTTTGATTTTTTCACAGCTCCAAGATATTATAAGCCTGAGTATTCGATATTAATATTAATTTAATATCTCGATGCGTTCCTGAGAAAAAGTCTTGATAGACAGACGGATAACATAGTGATGCTATATAATATACCTTTTATTTTAGGTACAACCATAAAAGTAAACAAAATAGAACATAGCACCCCACCTAACAAGATTCGGACACCTGGCGAGATGATCGAGAGTGGCCTCAGTGAGCAGCCGACAGCCAGCCAGCGACAGCCGCTGCAGGCCGTGGTGTGCGAGCTGCGCCGCGCCCGCGTCCGTGAGACGCGCGCACGATGATGCGTCTAGCTCGCATAGCTTTGGAAGTGCCTGTAAGGTTTTGAATTAAAAAAAAAAATACTTATATCTATATATTATATGTATATAAAAACAACTTTTTAACAAAATATAAAAACCGACTTCCAGGCACTAAAATTTAAAAAATAACTAAACGGAGGTTTTCATTTAGAATAGATACCTAATTAGATATTTTCGAAGTCCGTGCCAGCCGATGCAAAGCAAATCTAATATATTTCGATACATAAAATACATATTTACCTATTAGATATTCATATCTTAAAATATTGTAGCCTGAACATATATCGTATAATTGATTATTTTCTATTGTATTAAACGAAAGCATCACAGAAATAAAAAAAAATCGTACATCGTAATTTACTAAAAAAATAATTTATCATAGTGATTTGATACACATTACACATGCAAATTAAAAAGTTTCACATTTTATATACAAAAGTTATATATAAAATTATAGCTCTAATAATAATATAGGAAAACCCAATTACCTGCACAATATACAGCATGGCGACATCAGTAATATCGGTGCCGGGTAAACGCAGGACAGCCAGAGCAGCCAGCCTGGACGGCTCAGTGCCAGATCGTGCTCCACCACCTGGTCTCGAGTTCTCTGGTGGTGCGAGTATACCCCTCAGCTTGGAGTCGTCTAGACACCTGGCAAAGGAGAGGTCCAGGGCTGTGAGGGGTGGACAAGAGCTGGATCGGAGCGCCAATGCAGCCTCCGCTGGTGACCCGGCTAGAGAGAGAGACCGAAGAGCAGGGAGACGAGCCAGTAACCTGAAAGTGTACAATTTTTGTATTTAGCACTATCAATTCAAGGAGGAATGGAGCGCTTAATCTATAGATGACCAATTCTGAGACTACATAAAGGTAATTTATACAGATAAATAAAATTAAAGTGTCTGTTTGTAATGTCAAAACAGCTTTTGACTAAATGCATGTGAAATTATGTATGTTACCTATAAGAAAAGTTTGCGAGTTTGTTTTGATTGGACTGATTGAAACGGTTGGACTGATTGTAACGGGTCTTTTACTGGTAGTTAACCGATATTATAAGGAGTAACTTATGCAAAAAAAATTTTAAGTATTAGAATTCCATTAAAAAAGATTAAAACGAGGGTAAATTGCTAGTAGCATATAAAATTGACAGAACTCACTGGTTAAATACTAACAAAAACCATAACTGTACATATTATTAATATTGTTTAATGAGTCATTTTACTCTATGCTCGAACCATCTTTTACATATATCACCACCATACAAATCATTACGACAATAATAGAAGTAGGTAGAACTTTCGAGATTAAATCACATAGATATTTACTTATATGAGACTACTAATAAAACACATGCATACCAAGCAAGCTGCCGTCTCGCCAGATGGCACCACTCGAGCCCCAGGCTGAGCGGCTGGCGGCGCGCGATTCCGGCCAGCTGCGCCGCCGACACGCGCACTTGCACGAACGACATGCTGCGCCATAGGGACGGGTCCATCTGTAACAAATAAGTATAAAAAAAATTAAAGAGTGCGTTTATGAATGTGTACACGCGCAAGAAGTAAAACTTCTGTAGATTATCGGTACTTTTTATGAAATTCGATATATGTTTTAAATAATTAGGATAGGTGAAATACTAAAAATAACGCATATTAGGCATGTTACAATCATATATATATTTATAGAATATCATTTAAGTAAAGAACATAATGTTATATATCATTAACTGTTTTAAAATTAGCATTTCTACAATTAAAATGTACATATTCCTAGTGAGTTCCACTAAGATGAAAATATGGGGAATCAAAGTAGATTGACATGAGCTAATTCCGCATTAGGATGCGGCTAGCATTTTTGCCACTATTCCGCGCGGACATGGCATATACAGTCATAATTAAGTGTATTTTTGTTTTGTATATATAATTAAATATATTTGTCATTTTCTTTATTGTAAATAAAGTCTATTACTATGCCAATAAAGTTAATTCTTCATTTATAAAAATAAACGATGCAACCAATATTGACGATCATACCCTGAATACGCCCAAAATTTTATCAAATAACTCGATGCAAAACCTGTCAAGATTTAAAGCTGCATTGCTCAATAAAATGGACATTTAGATATATGTAATAAGAAAATCTGGTTAATTCATACGGAATACTCAGCCCAGGTCTTGCACACGAGCGCGCAAGTGGCCAGCTCGTGGGGCGTCAGCTTGGCGAAGACGCATAGAATTGCCTCGCGGTCCAGCCACGGGCAGCCGGCGTTCGGCACTTGCGTGAACGGGGCCGGTCGCACTGGGTACAGCGGTTTCTTTAGCACCTGTCAAACATTATTTATTAACAATTTCAATTATCTATTAATGTTTTTGTTGACTGCACTATTGTATAGAATGTTTAAGTAATAATCTATTTGTGTAATACAAAAATAATAAGGATATTTTTTTAAAGTTATACTTCTTTTGGCACGTTTGGAAAAAAATATGATAGTGAAATTTTTACGATACGCGCGCACAACGACAGCCAAAAAACGACATGATGAAGTTAGCTGAAAGCGACATGATGAAGTTGGCTGCATTCCTTTTATAAACAGAATTGTGACATACGGGATGAAATCTTTAGCTATTTTTATTCTGTTACGCCAAAGAAGTATAACTTCTTACGTGCGTACATAAGTACACATATTAATTTTGTACTTGGTGATTAGAGTATGTTGCGATAATCTGTAATTAAAAGACCATTTACTAATTGTTGGCATATGAGTATCACACTATATTAATGTATCTTTTGTTGGTTATCCCTTGGTAAATAAATACATAAATTATTTTTAAGCTTCTTTAATTAAATAAAATGTTTCTTGAAAATGTTTCGTCTTTATGCTTTTGTGTATTATTTTGGAAAGAATTTCTACAAACCTTTTTTTATTGTAAAGTCAACTTAATACTCTGAATTAAAAATATTGCTAACTTTCATATTTTCAATGGATTATATATAGCTTAATATTTTCCATTCAACGCATTCCCATACAAATAATACACATAAGAATCTAGTAAATATTGTTAATTTTTCGATAATACTACCCTTTCTTATAACATTTAGTAGTATAAAATTTAATTTAAGGTTATAATGTATAATGTTCTTCACTTTAAAGCTCTGTCTTTTTATAAACTTATCAATAAATAAATAATCTAATTTTCAGTATTTAATCAAGTTGCCTTTGCTGAATGATGTGTCAGTTGCAAAGCAAGGTGAGCTCGTAACGCTTGCTTCTTGGGCGCTTCGTCTTCATCGCTCGAACGTCGCTTCTTAGCTGCCGGCTCCCACTCGCCCTCGCGCTCGCCCTCTGCAACGCCATTGCCGTCTTCATTATCTTCCTCTTCACGTTTGATTTCTGATGGAGAATTTTTGTATTCGTATTATTATTTAATAATAGCGACTCACCCTCACTTCGCTCGGGTTCGTCCCTGGCTTGTATTTGTATTGCCCAATACAAACTTTCATCCCCATTTTGATCCCCTTCAGGGATGATTTTCGGGATAAAAAGTATCCTATGTCCTTTCCAGGGTCTCAAACTATCTTCTTACCAAATTTCTTCTAAATCGGTTCAGTAGATCCCGAGATTACCTCCTACAACGTCACAAACTCACAAACTTCACCTCTTTATAATATTAGTAGACTAGCGACTTACCGTCGCTACGCTCGAGTGCGTCGCTAAGCTTGAATAGTTTACGAACGCATAAAAGAAACATCCAAAAAAAAATGTCTTTACTTTTTGCACCAGGAACCTTCGCAGGCGTATACAGGGTTGAGTTACCATAAGAGTTTCATAACAATCGGATCAATAGTTTAGGACAAACATACGGACATTCATTTTTATTTAAATAGATTGACTAAAGAGTTCTAAATCGTACTTTCCTAAGTTTGCAAATATGTATGTTCAAATATTTTTTGTTTAATAATGTGTACCAATGCAATAAAACCTGAAACCTGTAATATAACTCGGCACATAAATGCTTTATAAATAAGTACATCAAATGATTCCTATGAGATTTTAGTTCATGGTAAAAGACGACTAGGACCACAAATGGTAAATAAATGACATAATATTATAATTATAATTTTCCAGTACACCAATAATCATAAAAAATATTTTCTATGTTTTTTTTTAAATAAACATATGATAACAGCTACCTTCTTCAGATTTAATTTGTCCAACGTCCGTTTTATTTTCCGTGTCAGATCCAGCCTCTGTTTTAACAGTTACTGGAGGTGGTGGTACTGGTAATTTATTCTGAAAATATAAATACATGTAATATTAAATCAAGCTCGTTTAGAGCCGTAATACAAGTATTATTATTAATTTAAATGAAATATTTGTATCATACAAATTATTCGATATCAAAATTTATTTGCATGTTACATAAAAAACATTAGTTAATCGAATTCAGGATGTCAGACAGATATCTTATCCTCTAAATGTTGGTTTTTATCATAGACACAGAGAGTCGACTGAGTGTTTCTTTGTTGTTATTATAAATTTTTTACATACTATTTATAAGCTCTAATTAGAATAAAAGAAAGGTATTGGCCGCACATTCGCTTTCTCTCTTTCTAGAGAGTGGTCAATGATATGAGAATATTGTTCAGTCCATACCTCTATGTGTATGGTTTATATTTACCTGAACGTTATTATGATGCTGACTGAGTTGACTGGCGTCCGAGCCCACGCTCATGCGGCGCAGGTCCGAAGACTTTTGGCGAGCACGGAAATGACGAGGCTGTAAATAAATGATAATTAAAAAAATATAATATAATATGGTTTGTTTATGATATTCTAATATGTAAAAAACGATCGAAACGTTAATTTGATATGTCAGATCAAAATAAATAGAGCTACCAAATTCAGTATTTCTGAATGAACAGTTTAATTTTTTAGTCTCTATACATTAAAGTTTTAAATTTAACTTTCAAACGCTACATACCAGCACTTATTACAAACATTCCATATGTAACCATCAAACAGTATAATTACTTTATAATCATGATTCAATCCCATAGTAGTACAAGTGGGGCATTCCCATGAGTTGGGCAAATCTTCATTGATCTGACCGCCGGGAGGCACGCACGCGGGGTGCACGATGCTGTAGCACACTGAGCACTCGCGTAGTGACGATGGACCATTGCGACCTGACGAAATAATAAAAACATTATTTCAATACGTTGTATGTGTTATTAAAATATATGTGTATAAATAAAATAATTACGAAGCTTATTTTTCTCTTTAATAAAACTTTTGATTATCATGTCTATATAAAAACGAACTAAACGAAGGGACTATCCGCTCGATGTACGGGTCTACGGGAAGCTTTCCCGTAGCTGACCCGTGGATCGATTCAATTTAATTCAAGCTTTAAGATCCACGGGAAAATTTCTTATACTTCTCAAAATTCCACCTTTGTCCACGTCATTTTCTATGTATTTTTTTTATTACTTGTTTAGTGCAATAAAGTATACATGTATATAATTTTTTTTATATTTACCAATGAATAAGTTCTCAAAAACAAATTATGTAATATTTGTTTTAATTTGGGGTATTTTTTTTATTTTTAGTATGTCAAAATGGTAAATGATTATAAATTCTCTTTTATTTTGCGTTCATTATTTTTGTATGAGATCAAATGATGGAACTCGGCCACAGGGACTGTGAATGGGAAAGCTTCCGTCGAGCCGTAAATCGGGCGAATAGTCGCGTTCATATAATAAAAGGTAAACAGTGGAAAACAGAGTAAATTAAAACCGGCCAAGTGCGAGTCGGACTCGCGCACGAAGGTTTCCGTACCATTATCTATAAAAACGGCAAATCACATTTGTTGTATGGGAATTGGGAACCCCTTAAATATTTATTTTATAGTTTCTTCGTATTTGTTGTTATAGCGGCAACAGAAATACATCATCTGTGAAAATTTCTAAAGTCTTTTCTAAAGTTCTAACTATCACGGTTCATGAGATACAGCCTGGTGACAGACGGACGGACAGACAGATAGATAGACAGACGGACAACGGAGTCTAAGTAATAGAGTCCCGTTATACCCTTTGGGTACGGTACTCTAAAAAACCATTCCTTAGGGCATATATATGCACACCGCGTTTTATATTCAGGCACCGCAATTCGTTTGCGCGTATTCTTCGCTGATAACTTAGAAAGGGCTCAACACATTTGACACATGAACGAACGTATATCGTCTGCAGCTTAAGATTACTTGGGTTTGTTTGTACAAACGCGTGATAAGCGCGTTAATTAAAAAATTAAAGGGTGCATAGTAAAACGCTTTGCTTTGATGATATAAATATTCCTTGTCATTTTGCTTAACGAATGTAATTTTTTCTCATTTTATTACTTAAAATTAAAAATAATAAATTAGCAAAATAAAAAGAAAACGAACTACATCTTAGTATACAAGTAAATTACCCGAGTTACCCTTAGCCTGAGGCGCGACCGGCGTCTGCATCCAGCCGTCGAGGTGACACACTGCACACGACGCCGTTACAGGCAACATGGGCTAAAAAGAAAAGATATAATTATTTTTTTGTAAAATATTGAATACAAATAAAATTTACACGCACTCACTGTATCGTTACTACTATTCGATACTAATATTATACATGTGAAAATTTGTGAGGATGGATGGACGGATGTTTTTTACTTCTTCACGCCAGAGCGGCTGAACAGATCTGGATAAAATTTGGTACAAAGATAGATTACAGTCTGGAATAGCACATAGGTTACTTTTTATTCGGAAAAATGTACGCTTCCCGTGGGATAGATCTGTTATTATTTTTGTAATGTAATAATGTAATTATTTAAGTTTTATAGGTAATATTAATCACTCAATCATTTGTATATGTATGTTTATTACTCCTTCACGCTATACTATAACCTAGAGTAACAAAGACATTAGTAATAAGTTTTACCAAAAGGTGGTGTTGTCTGTATATAACGTTATAAATACAAAAACGAACAAACGAGAGAAATTCACTAGTAAACAACAAAATAAAAATATATTAAAATTCGCACCATAACTATCATGTTACATTTATTTTTATACAAACAAACAGAAACTCACTTGCAAACACTGTCGCATGATACAGGTCTGTTTGGCGCGTCCAAGCCCACCGAACTTTACCATGTCGTGGCAGAAAACGCAATCACCGCAATCAGTGCGCTGGCATGCCTCACATTTCTTGCACCTGGAAAATTAATTGTATATTTTTAATTACATTTTACATGAAGTTATATTTAAATAATTTAGTATGGTGGCACTTTTAGATTTTAGCATCCTGATCTTTGTTTCTTATACAGACAGAAATCCTGCAATTTCCTATCAGAGAACAAAGAATATCCATCTGATATTTATTTGAAAATACCTAACAACATTAAAGCAAATTTATTATGTCCACTTTTATTTAACGTCCCAGTAGGACCCTACAAACTAGCCTAAAATATACAACACCATATAATTTTTACACTGTATAAAAATATGTACCTAGTACGTCGTCTACGCGGTGCGCTATTGGCATGTTCGGGGCGAGGCCGCGCCGGGCCGCCGCGGTGGCCGCCACGACCGCCGCGACCGCTTGACTGCCTCCGTTCTCCCGATGTGACTTCATCTGGCCCTGGAAATTGTACATATTTACTTCATATAAAATAATGTATTCAGCCCTTTTTAACGTTCCACTGCTGGGCACAGGCCTCCCTTCAGTACGAGGGGAATCAGGCCATAGTCCACCACGTGCGGATTAGCGGACTTCACATGTCTTTTGAAAACTTGCTAGGTTCTCTCAGACATCACGGTTTCCTCACGATGTTTTCCTTCACCGTTAAGACAAGTGGTAATCATGTTGAAAATAATTCGCACATGAAAATATCAGAGGTGCGAGACCCGAGATTTGAGCTCGTACTCGGTTTCCCAAGTGAGCGCGTTACCACTGGGCTACCACTGCCTACAAAATAATACCACAGTATAAATAAGTTGAGAGATGTATGATAACGTCACAATTATGGGCTGCCCTTAACTCATGATATCTGGTGACAAAAATTGTCACGAGTAATAGGGGACTACGAACATCAAGGAATGTACTAAATATATCATACTAGCATTGCCCGCGGCTCCGCCCGCGTTCAGATGACCAAAAACCAAATTCTTAAGCTTTTACAGATTAGTATACTTTTAGAGTACATTGCAGTTTTTGCACTTTTTCTTAGAAGTGAGACATTTTATCGTGGTAAAAAGTATCCTATACGTTGACCGGATAATAAGCTATCACCATACCAAATTTCATCAAAATTCCTCCATTGGTTTTTCCGTGATGCGGTTACAGACAGACAGACAGACAAAAATTCTAAAAGCTATAGATTCGGCCTCTGTATCGATAATAATGTCTATTTCAATAAGATTTTCCAAAAAATATTTAATGTACAGATTCGGCTTAGTTACAATTTTATTATATGTATAGATGTAGGATCCCGTCATAAGAGTGCATACAAACTACTTACTATGCACATTCCTTAACACTTATCGGCTGGTACTTATAATGACGTCACATGTTCTTAGTAAATAATAAAGTGTCGTGACGTTCGAAGTTTTACACTTTTTCCATCTAGCCAAGCGTTTATGTTGTGTTGTTTGTCATGTTCATGTTAATCATTTTAGCATTTCTATGTTAAGGCGTAAAAACATTGTCAAGCACGAAATTACCACGAAAACTATTTAAAAATGATACTTTAGTCTTTACCTTTCAATACAGGTACGCCAGTGACAGCGAGGTGCTGCTTATCATGTCTATGTTGCTCGACCAAAGTCCGTACATCGCGTACGAGAGCTATGGGATCCGTCAATAACTCGGGCACCGACTTACGAGCCGCAGGGAGCTGGTGGAGATATACCACTATGGCCTGGAATGTTTGAAATTATATTATTGTAGTAAACTAATATTTTCCAATGCTACAAAGCCTTCAATAGTCATTTGTTTTTATCATGTCTTAATTTAATTACACGTCGTGTTTTTTTATATATAGTATAGATTTATATACGTCAATTACCAGCCTTTAAAATTTTTCTCACTATCTATCTTTCTCCCCTTCTCTCTCTCTCTCTCTCTCTTACTAGGTGAAAAGCACGTAAATTAATTGTTCTTTTGTTGCATAAAAAGACAAATCAATTCGCAATATAGCAATACTAAAGATTTCCTTAAGTTCAAAGCAAAAGTAAAGATTCGTAAAGTAAGCATTTCTTTTATTCAGTTTATAGGTAGAGTTTTTTTCTATATACCTCAAATATCGTTAATATATTAACCTTCAAACCATGCAACTCATTCTGTGTCAAGTGCACGTGTTCCTTGGGCGGGGGCGGCAGCGCGGGCGGCGCCTGGCCCTCGGGCGCGAGGTGGGAGCGCCCGAGCAGCGCGCTCACGTACCTGTCTAGCACGTACCATAGCATCTCTGTGAAGAACGGGTAACGAAATTTCTGTGGCACCTGTAAATTAAATAAGATAATATACGATTAAAAATAATATTAATTACAATGCAATTTGCATTTTTAACACAAGTTTCTTCAAAATTATATTAAAGTTACATTTTCCACAAAGTTAATGCACACTCAAAAAATACAATTGTGATATAATAAAGATTATAATATTTTATGAAGGTTGATGTCTGGTTTTTTTTCACTTGAATAACAAAAAATAATTACTATACATACTATGAAAAATGTAATTGCAGACTCTCTCTTAGAAATTACATTTTTCATAAAATTAATGCATGAGTAACTCTAAACCAAATTTGTGATCAACAAAAAAAAAGGTTAGTGTAACAATATTATCATTGAAAACAATATTAAAAGTATTAATTATGTAGATTGTATTAACTCACTCATTATGTACTCGCATGATTTTTATTGAATCAATAAATGGATGAATGAATGAATATTTGTATTTAATTATTATTGGACATACACAATAACAGTAACCACATGTACATTACCTTTGTAACATCTTCAACCTGTGCAATTTTCAGTTGCTTCTCAATGCCAAACTGATGTAAAAAGTTCCCACCAAATACTAAAGAGTCACTTGGCGTATACACGGCGTGGATCCAACCAGTCGGGATAAAGAATGTATACCCCGATTGCAACTGAAATTATAAATAAATCATTTATTATCATTTTTTGAGTACCTAATTCAACATTAATGAAATGCCGTTATGACATTTTGATACTATGATCATAGAAAGAAATCTTATTACGTATAAACTTTCTTTTCATTTAAAAAAAAAGTTTGTAAAATATAATAATTTTACATGTGAACTAGCGACTCATTCTCGCTTCGCTCGGGTTCGTCTCTAGGTACGCTTTATTTTTTTTGAGCGGAACCCTAATTCTTTTTCTAAAATAAAAGTAGCCTATATTACTACTCCCTATAACATCAGCTATCTTCTAGTGAAAGTCCCGTCAAAATCAGTCTAGCTGTTTCAGAGATTATCCAGAACAAACATGACAAATAAACAAACAGACAGACAGACAAACATTTTAAAAATCGTGTTTTTCTTATAAGTACCGAATATAATTTCAAATACATTTAGTAAAACGTAATATATATATTCACTTTTTTCAGTATACTATCAACAACTAAATATTTACATACTAGCGGCTCACCCTCGCTTCGCTCGGGTTCGCCTCTAGAAAAACACTAATAGAAATCTATTAGTTCCCACGGGAACCGTTCATTTTTCCCGGATGAAAAGTAACCTGTTGTTTGACCGGCAATATAAGGTATCAGAATGTTAAATTTTACTAAATTAGGTGCATAAGTTGTATAAGTTATAATAGTTTTTTAACTATCCCACGGGAACCATTTAATTTTCCGGGATAAAAAATATCTAAGACGTTGTCCGGGGATATAAGGTACCACCATGCAAAATTTCATTTAAATCGGTCCAATAGGTTCGAAGATTAGCCCGTACAAACAGACAAACAGACAGAGAAGCAAAACTTTGAAAAAATCAGGATTTGTTCTATTTGTCTTCTTACATCCCCCTGACTCGCGATGGCTTATTATTAGCGTATTTCATGTATAACTTTGGTGTTTCTATACCGATTTCTATGATTCTTTTTTATGGAATAGTTTATAATGTTAACTTTTTTAATTAGGGATGACTGAGAGTGTTATAAACGTAAGAGTAGACAAATATAAATCAGAAAGCTTCGAACTGCTAAGCTATCGGTAGTTACACGTGTTATTGTGAATCAACCATAAAAGATAGACATATGCTGTCGTGGGATATTTTTTATATAATTTTAAGGAGAACATTTCCGTCATACATGATTTCTGTGTAGCTTTAACCATTTAGGTTGCACGCGACGGAAGCTTAAAAAATGGAGTAACGTCTCCCGTTTTCCCAACATTTCCCTTCACTGCTCTGCTCCTATTGATTGTAGCGTGATAAAAAGTATACTTTAACCAGCTCAGGAGTATGAAAAATACTTGTACCAAGTTTCGTTAAAATCCGTCTAGTAGTTTTTGTTTCTATAACGGTTATACAGACAGACAGACAAAAATTTTACTGATTGCATTTTTGGCATCAGTATCGATCCCTAATCACCCCCTGATAGTTATTTTGGAAATATATTTCATGTAAAGAATTGACCTCTCTACAGATTTATTATAAGTATATAGATAGATATTTAGAGCCAACTTTAAGTATTTTCATTCAAAATTCCCATGATGCCCTGATGAATAGTAAATCCAAGATATTTTTGTTTATTACTGACATCTATAACATACTTACATGGACTCTAATACATTTCTCAACCGTATCTCCAAAGAAAACATCCGACTGCTTGCCAGAGAGCACCCACTTTTCATACAACTGGAGATTTTTTTCTGTCGGTGGGATAAGCCAGAATACTTTTGCACCTGTAGAAATGAAAGATGGTTCATACAAATTGTTTAGGCCTAATGGTAATGCATTAAAGATTATATTATCTTTCAATGAGCATTCTTTCAATTTTCTTCTCTAAGTTTGCTTTTAATAGATTCATATAAACAAAAATTATAATCTCTACTTTTCGTGACGTTATAAGAATTTTAAGGTATTCAAGAAACTGATGTACCTATCATGATAAAAAGGGAAAGGACGAAAAGAAGATTAAAAAAAATTACTTTTAATTTATGAATGGACGATCTCTACATAAAAAATATTCATAATTTATTTACCTCTCAAAATGTGGTACCACACTGAAGTACCACCAAAATCGATGTGGAAATCTGTGTAGCAGCCCTTCACAGACATGAGGCAGTACTTTTGCACCTTCGGGTACATCATATCATCTAAAGCATTTGTTGATTCAGTCTGAAAAAGATTAATGACTTTCTCGTTTCATATTTTTTATTTTTTTCTAACACAAAAAAGTTTTGAAATTATTTATACACATTATACACGTCATCATATAAATTTATTTCAAAAGTTATACTAGCAACTCACTCTCGCTTCACTGTGGTGCATTCTTTAGTGGTCTTTTGTAGTTATAACATTATAAATACAGGTAGCGCCAACTTTTTTTAACCTCTAAAAATTTATTACTAGCAATAGTATATGTGTTATTCCAGGTCGTAGTCCATCTTTGAATTGAATTTCATCCAAATCCGTACAGCCGTTACAGCGTAAAGGAGTATAAAGATACACTTATGAAATCTGGCTCTACTAATGCCATATTAATAACAATTAACAACTCAAATTAAAATAAATACAAAAGAAATAATCTTTTTACCTGTTGATCCTTCAAGTGCCTCGGCCACACGGTGTCGACCCAGTCTATGAGACGCACTATGCGTGGTGCCTGCACGTAGTTCTCTAGGCGAGTGTGAGAGAACTCTAGCGAAATCACGTTTAGCAGCCGCTCTTTGTTGGGATCATCGTAGTAACGTTGCCAATCCTAGTTACATAGCAAATTTAAATAAAGACACCTATACACGTTATAAGGCAGTGGTAGCCCAGTGATAACGCGCTCGCTTGGGAAACCGAGTGAAGCGGGTTCAAATCCCGGGTCTCGCATCTCTGATGTTTTGATGTGCGAATCATCTCCAACATTATTACCATTCGTCTTACGGTGAAGGAAAACATCGTTAGGAAACCTGCATGTCTGAGAAAGCCTAGCAAGTTTTAGAAAGATATGTGAAATCCGCCAACCCACACTTGGCCAGCGTGTTGGGACGTTAAAAAGGGCTAAATATAATACACGACATTGGTACATTTACATTCTATACTTTCGACCGGCACGCATGATTAAGTAAACGTGTTCGTTTGACTGTTTGGACTGTGGAAGCACAAATCACACAGCATATCTTTTTAAGTTTTTAAGATTTTTCAAGCCTGCTGTTACGTGTGTAGCTAACCTGACATATAACAATCCTTACAGAGGACCTTGAGCTTGATATTCTATTTACCCAGAGTAGGACTCGAACCAATTGCAGAATTCCAAATTATTATGTATTTAATTTTATATTAACGAAATATACTTTTCATTAATATCCTTCGCCATATAATAAACTAAAATGTTTAGTAAAATTATAAAAAATCCTGCTTTGTTCTTTCATTTCTTTAATTCTTAAGGTATGAATTATTTGTTAATTTTAAAATGCAATACATTCGCATTAAATATGCTTTATTATATTTTATTATTATTATTTTTTTCAACTTATTACTAAAGTACTTGCATTTTTATTCCACTTTTATGTACTAATTAAATATAAATTTCTGATTAATATTTACCTTCATGGTCATCTCAATATTTTTCTGCGTGTTTACATCCATGACGTCAAGTAAGCGCCTAGAGCCGACGCACATGCGCACGTCGTTCACGGTAAAGTTACTGGTTGGCACCCTACAAACAAAGGAATTACCTTAATAATTATAAAATTACTGCAATGATAAGAATATTTATTTGAAAGAATTATTTAAATGAAAAATAAAATTGAATGTGGCAAATCTTAAAATTATTCGTCATAGCTCTTGGCTTTTACACCTCCTAAATCATTCAGTATAACCACCCGCTTAAGGTTTCCTCAGTCGGCCGCTTTCAGCGTTTGAGAGCAGACGTGTTACGAGGTCTCATTTCAACTTTCCAGTTTCAGTTTCGCTTCACAAATCACAATGTCGCAGTAAATTTTAAACCCTTTTCCCATTTTACTACAACTAACTTTGGGTTTTTAGGTCTAAACAAATACTCAGAAAATATAAACATGTACAACTAAAAAGAACTCTTACATTTCCTCACGAAAGCTAAAGCGACTACCATTTTGTTTTACGAATTCATAATATATATTTCAAACGTATAAGACAATAGATATTTTTTTCAATACTCAGCAATTGCCAGTAGTTTTGTCTGGTTGAAAATAAAGAACTCTATATCGTTGCACATGTTACGACTCTACAATCAAGACATATTTCCGGTCGTACTAAACTGTTCGAACGCGGCTTTATTATTTAATAATTGTAGCTTTAAACATACCATCCATTTAATTTATAATTTAACCTATATTTGGGACGAAATGTGACAGGATCGAATTGCATTACATTACGTGGGTTCGACTTTTGAACATGTGTTTGTACTGACCATTATATAAATGCTTAACCTGGTATATAATGAAAGGTTAGCAATAAAACTGCTTATGTATAGGTACGTCTTTCCAAAATAACTTCTGTACTTTATTTCACGTAGAGCTTTTTATTATTTTAATAATAACTTGATCATTAATCTTATTTTTAAAAATCTTTTATGATTATACTACCGAAATAACTTTTTTAATTTCTTATGGGAACCACTTTTATGCCGAGATAACAATACAGGACCCCACTATGTCACTCACGACATACATATTTTCGAAAAAAATCAAATCAATGTTGTCAAAATATTAAAACGGACAGACCAACTTTGTATTTATTATATTAATTAATAAAGATTACATTAATAATAATTAATATCGTTTATCATATTGTATAATATTATAATTATAAATTAAATATATAACATCTAAACTCCCTTATAGTGAAACACGGGCGAATGAAACCTGTTCGACAAACAAGCAAATATTTAATGAAGTTACTCTACCCATTGACCATAGCCTTTTGTCAGTATGTACATAAAAACTACCTATAGGTGTATAGCAGTAGGCCGCAGTACATTTTTGAATAGGGTAAAAAGAGACTTAATCCATAACGATGTTATATTTATGTGAAAAAGTGTTTGTTTGTCCTTCTTTTAAGCCGAAACGGTGAAACGGATTGTTGTTTTTTTTTCTGTATGAAGATAACAAGCCGAGTAATAGGGGTAATATAAGCTATTTTCAACCGACTTCAAAAAGGAGGAGGTTCTCAATTCGACTGTATTTTTTTTTTATGTTTGTTACCTCAGAACTTCGTCATTTATGAACCGATTTGGACAATTTTTGTTTTGTTTGAAAGAGTATACTTCCAGATTGGTCCCATTTAAATTTCAAAAAAAAATACCACCCCTAAGGGTGGAAAAATAGCTAATAATGAATTTAACCTACTTCTAATTGTCATATTGACTTGAAACTTTGCAAGTGTTTCTATTTCCGTTGATAGTACAGTGGTTCGGTATTGTTGACCTGATTTGATGGTAAGGCCAGAAGGTGGATAGGTGGAACTCTTCAACGGCTAATAGTAGATACTTTGAGTTTGGGCTTATTTTGTTTGATTCAACAAGCCTAACACTTTAAATTCGTACTTTGCTACTACTGTCTACACTAAAAAGGGAAAAATAAAAACCTTTTAACAAAAAAATAAAAACCGACTTCAAACAAAAGCACTAAAAAGTTAAAAATAACTGATTGGTAGTTTTCATTTACTATACATACCTAATCAAATATTTTCGAAGTCGGTGTGCTTTGCTTTGTATGGGCTGGCACCGATTTCGAAAATATTTGATTAGGTATGTATTTAATAGGTAGGTAATTACTTAGCCAAAGCACACCGACTTCGAAAATATTTGATTAGGTATGTATAGTAAATGAAAACTACCAATCAGTTATTTTTAACTTTTTAGTGCTTTTGTTTGAAGTCGGTTTTAATTTTTTTGTTAAAAGGTTTTTATTTTTGAACAGCAGTAAAATATCTTTTTCGCGGGAAAATATGTTATACTTTAACTCATATACAATAGAGCATTTCAATTGCTATAGATTTCTGTACGGAAATAGCTTGAGGCCTCGAAAGTGACATATTATGTAGTTATGAAGCTATATACCTAGGGACGAAACCAAGCAAGCCGAGGGTGCGTCATATAGGTATATTGTATACAATACAAACTGTTTATTTTTTACTTATACTAATTTATTTACAACACGTTGAATGAAAATACTACTTACTAATAATTTGATACTCAACAAAAGAGGTTTTTGCTTCAAAATTAGTTATTTTGAACATCAAGAATAAAATATAAGTTCATATCTCAATCGAAATATATATTTTTTTATTTTTACTAGACGGATAGTCGTTAATGATCTTAGGGCGGTGCAATCTTGGCATACTAATTAGTGAATACTGACACGGATCTAGTAATCTAAATAGGTAATAGGTACCTTATTACAATGAATCTCTCAAAGAATACTATATAATGCGAAAATATGTTTGTAGGTTTGTTCACTCAGTCGGAGCAAACGATAGACGTATCTACTATCTATGCATTAACATAGTTTGTTGGCGGGAAAGTAACATAAACTTTTCTTATATCCGTACATAATATGTTCCCACTTGATGAACCAAGCATCAATTGGGTATTATAATTATCATTAATCTATTGCAAAAATATACCTAGTAACATTGTAGGTACTGTGCCTCCCTTCTACCAGTAGTATAATAAATATATGTGATCTTAGGTTTAAAAGCAGTAATAAAGAGATATTGTAACGAGACACTTCTTTGTATTGATCCCATCACTACATGGCGACCCTGCCAGGATATCCATTACCACAACATATTACGTTAAATTTCCAGTAATCGCAAAATAACTGGTTATAATAGAGCATTTTCCGTTATTAAAAGAATTATTGTGACCTAAAGTAAAATAAACTTATAAGGATCTAAATACTAAATAATGCATTGGTCTTCTATTAGTAACCGGTCTAAAAGCACATTGCGCTGCACCTGCTATGGCGATAGGCAGTTGCTAGGATGTTTGTTGTTCATACCATCGCTTTCGGAGTACAATAATTGCTATCCGCAATGATAACTTAAGTGATTAAATGTAATAAATATTTCGGATTCAGAAAACAATTATTTTAAATTGTTATTTAATTACTTAATATAACGACTGAACATCGTTTTACACGGGTGCTTTCCTAGGTGTCTAACATTAGCGTATGTGTTATCCAGGTCATAGTCTATCTCTTTACTTAATTTAATCAAAATCTGTTCAGCCATTTCGGCCTGAAGGAGTACCTAACGAATATACACACATAAAACTTACTTCCTTTTTTATTATTTATTTATGTGCCATAAAATATATGTTATACAAAACAAAGTAACAGAATGTCTTCAAAGGATAACTTATCTCTTTAAGAGATTTCTTCCAGATTCATTAGGGTCCGATGTTTTATTTCTTTCTAAATTACACAAGTTAGTAATTCTTGCTATCTAATTTCTGCGGCCGCGTCCGCGTGTATGTTTGGCCTTTATCCATTAAATATGGCTTCTGTTATGTACAGTAACGCACAAGACTGGGAAGAAACTGTATCTTTCGGTCAATTTGACGAATCCACTTAGTTACTACATATAAAAACCGGATTAATAAATGTCGAAAACGACTAACAAGTAACAACTAACTGTTAAGAAAGACGTATCTAAATTTATATTTTATTAAATAATAATTACCAAATTTATTACAATTGTATTATATTTAAAACTCAAAAATAAAAGTAAAAGCTGTTTAGAAATAAACTACATTAGATAAATTAAACAATCAAGAGAAATGTTTATATTAAAAGCCCATATACGACGCTAACGACAGAGCTTACTGCGATGGAAACTAAACACAATTGAAATTATACTTGCACTGTAGGAGTGTTATTGGAAGAGATTAATATACTGTTTTTATTGACTTAGAGGTACTCCTACGAGATACTAACAATAAGTATCAATGAAAGTCATAACGCATAACTTTCGTACATAAAACAGTTAAAAAAATTTAAATGTAATAGTTATAGAATAAAAATATAAGCAATATAAGCAGATAACAATATTGTAAGAGTCATAATAATTATTCTTATTATCATAAAACTAGCGCAGACGTTCTCCTGCCATACTTTACTTGGTTGGAAAATTAAAAAAATCTGAATTTCGACAACAAAACTGTACTGGGTCCAACTATAGTTAAAAAAAGACATATGTGTGAACTTATGTACGTACGTAAGAAGTTATACTTCTTTGGCGTAACTGAACAAAAATAGCTAAAGATTTCATCTCGTATGTCACAACTCTCTGTTTGTAAAAGGAATGCAACTAACTTCATCATGTCGCTTTTTGGCTGTCGATGTGTATGTGTGTGTATAAAAATTTTACACTCATATTTTTTCCAAGCGCGCCAAAAGAAGTATAACTTAAAAAGATCCAAATAAACATCAAAATCGGTCAAGCCGTTTAGGAGGAAAGCATTTTGAACAAAAGCACACCGGAATTTTATACATAATTAAAATAACAAATCAGAATAGACGAAAACATTCCAAAAAATTACCTTAATCTATGTTACGTAATTTTCTAAACTATGCCAAGTGATGAAGTTTATAGTACCTATGTTTTTGATAACAAAAAATGGGCCGAGGAATGAATAGGAAATCAACAGTCGGGAATTCAATTGATTCTCAATTC